TCGTCACAATGTCATAAAATTTCTCTGTACCCGAAAAATATCTTTTTTAATTAGTACAACTATCGTATAATTATGTCTTACGTATTTTTCTGAATTACAAGAATTTATGCTGGTAATATATCAAGAGTTCCCCGGTTCGTCTGTACTAGATGGAAGCTGCAACGACTAAGGAATGAAATCAAACCTTATAGCGCGAGCGGCGCTGTACCTCTCTCGAGAATGTACAATACCTCTTTATCTTATTCAAGGCGGTAATATTTCAAGTAATTACGCGACACTTGTACACGTTGTACGCAACTTGGCTTGATATAAATAGCGGGGTTTACGTGACAGACGTTGACTTTCTTCTACGGTTTGAAAATAAACGGCAGCGCGTGCGTGCGCAATCTCCCTCGAAGCACCATCGGTGGTTTCCCCTCTGCGAAAGGCTGAATAAACGCCGTATATTTTTCCCTGTAATTCCGAAATACCTCCGCGCCGAGATGTTACTTCCGCGCGAACGACCGTATCGCGCATATTATAACGTGTGTGCCGGAAATCACGGAGACGGGCACAGCCGCTATTAAAAATTCAGCCCCGTGCGTGTATACATAGCGGGCACGTGTACATGACACCGTTTTCTCTCCTATAAATTATGGAGAAGTTAAAAATGCGCCGTAATTCGTGCAGTGCGATAAGGTAAGATGGCTTAACACCGTCGCGTCTCCGCGTGTTCTCAACAAGACACCTTCGGATCCGTGACACTGTATTCATCTATTTTTCGTACGAGTCAACGAATATACGGGAGTATCTAGACGAGAATACGCGGGAAACGGACGAGAAATCAAGAGAAATTGCGAGACAACGTGTACCAGAAGCGTGACGGAACAAAGGCGAGATGAGTCGAGAAATGAAAAGACGGATTTGAGATGAAACTCGCCGATGCGTGCGATGAAAAAATATGCGTCACAGAGATTGATCAGCACGCCCGCCTCGACGATACGCGACGTGGAACGTTTATGCTTCACACGGTCGCCATCTTTTTTTTCTTTCTCGATGATAAGGATAAAGCTGGAATCAAACGGTGCACGGTTTTTTGAATGATAAGCACGCATGCTACTATGCCTGTTCTGATGCACGTAGTTTACAGAGAAAGGTTTTGCTGAAGTATTTAAAAATTTAATTAGATGCAGATTTAAAAATAATTTTGTTGGACGCTGAAATTGGTTGCAAGAATGTTTAAAATTTTTTGCTCATCATGCTTAAAATTCCCATGTAATTATTTTGCTAGTCCAGCAAAATTATTTTCTGATCTGTAGCTAGTTAAATTTTTAGATGTAATTTTCAGCAAAATTGTTCTTTCGGTATAGAGGTGCAATCCACTCAATGCTGCAAATGTTTTGAAGTATTCTTTGATTGATCAACTCGTAAGATTCTTTTTTCTGATTAATCAACGAGAAGCATTTGCAGCGTTAAGTGGATCGCACCTTCAGAATATGTGCATGCATCAAAGCAGGTATAGCAGCATGCATGCTTATCATTCAAGAAATCATGTATCGTGTGATTCTAGCTTAACGAAGACCACGTCGCGTATGTTAGTATATTGGGATACGCATAACTCGAAGGGGATGACACGCTGGTATTGGAGTAGCGTAATCGATATCATCGTTCTCTTGATTGAGAAGATTTCTTTCTTCACGCGAACTTTTATTGAAGGCTTCTCGATAGACAGATATGCATCGAGAAATCCTATCAATGGGGAACGAACTAAAAATATCGTGAGGGATGAAAGAGAACTGATTGTCATGTGTCGAATAGAATATCGGCGATAAACACAATTGACACTTGACTGTTTGATCGATTTTTATATGCGCCAGGAAGTCGTGTTAAATCGGAATTTCTGTATTCTTTATGAAAGTTTCCCTTTGTAACCCGTCTTATTGAAGTTTACCTCCATAAAGAGATTAATTTTCAATACCAAGCAATTCTTCGTATATACATTCTAATATTCATTTTGTATATCTTATAAAATCTTTACGTAAAAGTCGACAGAACAGACTTTCAGTAATTTGAAGCATCTTGTATGTTTTGTATCTGCATTATTCATCGTCCGTGATGTGGGCATAATCGATAAAGCGATATGAGCGCACATAAAAGCAGTTAATAAGCAATAAAAGCTGCAGGCAAGATAAAACAGACGTTGCGCTCGTATGTAAGGTAAAACGGGTTGAAAACTCAACTCGCTTATAGAAACTTCTTCCTCCGCCCCTATTTTTCTTACGTCTCGGGCTCGAAAGAGTATCCCGGGGCAAGATATCGCATTTTATCTAGCGCAGCTGGATTCCAGATTCAAAACTTTTCCATATCGCATTACGTGCATGTATATATACACGGCGTAAGGCAGACATAGTGATGCTCTTCTGCACGCAAAGGGAACGGCGCGCATCAATAAATATTTCATTATGTACACCGTTGTGCGTCGACGTACACGTACGTGTACATAGTACGCGGCTCGCGGCGGAACACGATCTGGCGCGACGCTTTCCATATCTGCACTTCGCAATCTCCGACAACAAAATTTGCCTGACGCCGTACATGCATAGGTGGATGCTATACGGCCAGCGTGGACGATCCCCTGTCCCCTTCCCCCCTTACCCTCAGGCGCCGGTATCGATTATGAAATTGCGCCGGATAAAGCAAATGAGATACCACCGCGACGAGCTTGGTTGGTGGTGCGGTTCCCTCGTGTTCTCGTGAGCTCTCGTATCACTGATGCCCGGGCTGTTGGTTACCTTTCCGATCATATCGGCATACCGATATGCCCTCTCCCTCTCTCTCTCTCTAACACACAGGTGAGAACACTGCTTCATCGCACGCCAGTTTACGGGGATACGCACACCCCGCATGTTCACTTCGTATCGAGCCGTGTTGTACGCCGCATGTTATTCGTTCCTCCTACGGCGAAGGATGGTACAAGCGTGCAAGCCCCCTAATCGCTATTCGTCTCTATCTCGTGTTGAGCTCTAAACTACAATGTGCTCTCTCATGTGCACCGTGTCACGCTGCTGCGCCACTATAATTCCCGATAAGCGCGAAGGCCTGCGGAAGCAGGCAACGGATCGCATTATCCCATCATTATTATTTGATCAACTGCGGAAGAATCGGGAGATAATCGAGAGAGAATACGTAGGCGAGTTCCGCCCCTATCCCCTTCTCTCACCCCCTTTCCATCTTTCATTCTCTCTCTTTCTCCCGCCCTTGATCTCTCTTAGGACCTTATCCTATTTCGAAATCCGAGGACACATCCGGCTTAAGTTCTCTCTCATCGAGCGTCAAAGTTTCGAGTGGTCCTATACATCCCTCGACTTCTATAACAGGCTTTTGGCTCGGCTATTACCGTTTAAGGAATGCACATCATGAAGTCGCGATATACCACATCCCCAATAGCGAATTCGAACTTTTCGGGCACGCTTGTAGTATCATGCAATTTTCGCGGAATGGAAACGTGAAATCTCGCGCGTAGTTGTACATAGATACGAAATTTTGCCCGATACAGCTTCGTTATATACCTAGTTACGCCATGTTATGTATATTCTCTATTTATCGTACGTTTATATTTATTTAACAAGTCATCCAAATATCGGAGTACTTATACTACCACCCTCTATGTTTACCTGTTAACAATTTATATCGTTACATATTAACAATATTCATGTAACCGTGCAAAATTACGTACTGAAATGTAGAATATTCTAGCTCTAAATGAACGATTATTTTCCGCCGCATTTTATCTTCTCTATTATTAATACACGTTATTCCAATCGACATCCTCCCGGTGATTTTATAAAAGATATTTCAAGATGCTTTATTCTTCGAAATATAAAGATTCAGTACATCGGATTGAGTACGAAGTTAAGATGATTGTACAAAACGAAGTAATTGATTTCACGATATTTATGAATCGACATTGTGCAGATTTCTGATTCCCTAGATGGGAAAAATGGTTTTAAAATATTCGCGGAACCCGTATAATAACGTAAAAACTGTCCGGACTTTAGGATGGTCGAGAAATCTGCATTTCTAATTTTTATACCGACATTCACGAAATAACATCGCCGACGATGTAGTAAAACCGGGATTTGCGGAATCTCCGTCGCGGAATGATAAATGCCGGGAATTTTTTGAAAAATTCGAATCAGCGTTATGGGAGAATTACAACAAGATCTAGGATAGTTTTTTTCCAAAAAAAAATGTTGAAATATTTTCTTCCGATGAACATTCGTAACATTAGCAAGAGTTTTTTTTTGTTGTAAAAATAAAAGAGTCCACAGTAGCTTTATATATACACAAATAAAATACAATTTATAAATTTTTCCTAAATTCTCAATGAGTAGTATAATTTATTTTAGCAAATGATTTTGTAGAATTAATGTAAACATATATATTTATCATGGATATATCGTTTAAAAATGCGAGAATAAGATGTTTGCTTCAAATTCATGGAATATCACTCATTTACCATTTCTTGATCATTTACCATTTTCTTTTTCATGAAAGAGAAGTAAAACATTTACGAATAAAAAGGATTGCGAACTAGTGAGCTCATGATACGTTTAGGAGTATGTGTCACGATATTGATCGACTCTTCAGCAACTGGGTGCCATTAGCCATATACTTTTTGTCTAATAGTATGAACTATTGTGGTCGAGAACTCCGAAGAAAGCTTACGTTGACGACCTACTTTTAGATCGCACTAGGGTGGAATCTTTTTTCCTGAATCAGGTCGGTGCGCGTAAAAGACGTGTAACACGTTGCGAAACACGATGTATGCAAGTAGGTCAGGTATCTACAAGTTTTATCCGTCTAGGTAAATAAATTATAACCATAATTATCTGTTGCAATAAAAACAATTTGCAGTGAATCGTATAAATATATACTTGTAATTGTTTCGTCAATAAATAAGAAGGGTCGTTCAATCCTTCGTGTTAGCTGGTTACGAAAGAAAAATAGTCCGTACTCACTTTATTCGATTATAAACTAGCAGCTCAGCTATCTCTCGGCCTAGCCTCGAGTATAGAGTTTCTACAAAGACCAACACTTTTGGATCTATCCTTAATCGAGCTTCACTGCGATGGTCTGGTGCCGACGGTAGTCTGGTCGCTCCTCTCAGAGTCGAACATCGTATCGCTGGCTCTGGCCTTGTATCTCGGTGTATTAAACTGCAATAATAAAAATTATTTGTTAGTTAATATTTTATTACAATTGGTATTATATTTAATAAAGAAATATGCTAGTTATCATATAATTTGTAGTACATATAAAATATATCGCCTGATACATAATTTTTATATTGTACAATTATTTTTAACTTCAAATTATTCATTAAAAATTGACAAGTGGCAATTTGCCGGTAATAATTTTTAGCGTGATACTAAGATAAGCCATTGATATATCATACATATATATCAAGAGTCTGAAGAATTTTCGCGATATTGATCATACACACGTAACGCATTTTCTCGAACCATCTCTTATCTCAGAAGTTTTACATATTTATGAGATATTTTCTCGTTATAGAGCGAGCCTCGCGTTACTTCATGCCACGTTATAGTTTTCATGATAATATCAAATGCTCTTTCAAAGAGTAAAAGGAACGTTTCGATTGGCTTCAGTCCAGAAGCAAATTCTTCCGTCAAATTCTTCGTAACGAAACCCCCGTAACGAGCGGCCCTCGAAGAATGCACGGCAGCTCTTTCAACCTGTCCTCAAAGTTCCGCTTTCAACATAGACGGATACAATGTGCCCGGTATATCCGTGCAGAGAACGTGGATGTAACAGCAACGCAGGAATTTTGGAACGTATGCGTAGCTCCACAAAGGACCCTTTAGCGCTGCTGCAACGAGTTCTTCCGGACACCTATTAACATCGGGCATTCTGCAAGTTTCCTGGTATTTACCGCGATTAAACTATCTCACCGTGAATACATAAAGAGATAATTCTTTTTTTTATATCGTTCGTATTGTATTTCGAATTATACAAAAGATTGAAAGTCTTGATATCCGATGTTTTAAAAAAATTATAATTTTCAAGAAGACGTTTCAAGAAATAAAAGAGTTTCTTCCCAATTTTTATTTTTATTACCTACATTTTTTACTTAGAGTTTTTCTTTAGATTGTAAATTGAATCCGATAGTATATAATTTTTATGTTTTAATTCAGATTGTATAGCTTATACATTCTCTTTAGATACAGCAGATAATGGATACATTCCTTGCTGTTGAGCTCCTTTATGTTTGTCACGAGCAGATCCAGCGGTATATTATCGGTGCATGCACCAAATTAGTATGCGTCCAGCAATCGAGCTTCTCGCCATAAACCGAAAATCGAACCTTTGTACTGAAGCAGGATAAGCCAGGACCGGTCGACATTCAAACATGCGGAGGCATTTTCATAATGGAACAGCAATAACTATTATTATGGTATATACGAATTCGTCGAATTATTAATTGGGATGCAAACACGATCAATCGTTCTCATAATTTCTACCCATATATGTCATAACACTCATTGATGCGTAAAAACGTTTATCGTGCAGCGTCCCGAATTACGTTGAAATACGAATGTGGATATTACGGGTGCATGTTAATGGCTTGTGTATCGAATATAGATCATTAATTTCCAGATGTGAGAAAAAGTTGAAGGGCCCCAAAATTAAATAAATGATAGAAGGTATATTTATAGACATATTATTATAAAAGAAAAGTAGTATTTTACGTCATAATGTGATCCTGAAAAATTTATGCTAAAAAAAGAAACATATGTATAAAAGTTTTTTAACCGATGAATAAAGCGATGAGTGAGACTGAAAGGGTCTTTGGCTTAGGCGGAAGCGAAACAGATTATCGATGATGCACTTGCGCTTCGCAGCTCTTACCCTCTCCGGTTTACAATTTATGCACATTAGGCGTCGCGTCAGTAGAACATACACGAAGCGGAGCTTCGGTCGAACATTTACTCACGTAGTACTGCTTTAGTCGTTGTTATAGAGCATTTGATGTAACTAAATTTCAAGCAAATATTTTCTCGTAACGCAATCACAGACATAAACTGTGCTATAGTAAAGGTCTTTGACGCGCATAACGATAATTCACTGTGCGAAATGCAATTTATCAAGATGTGAAATATTCGTGAAATTGCCCTGTAGAACTATGTTATCTGTTTGCATTTCATATAATTTGCCAAAGCTCAATGATCGATTTCCGCTTATCAAAGTTTCTCGTTTCGTCTTCAACGTGTGTTTTGCAATAGCTTTCATAAAGATATGGAAATGCTCGTAGTAGGAAACAGAGGTATCGATCGTGATATGCTCCATACACGTATGCATACACAACGATGCATCGAATGGTTCCTCTGCATTTCATGCGCGGGTTATCGATGCAATATTCTTGACATTCGTGTGTATCGAAGTCGTTTATCCATGCACACGGGATCATTCGTAAATATCGAGAATCTGCAATCCTACCCACAGTTGAGAACAAGAGAGGTACTGTATATGCATTGTCTCTCGCTACTTCATAAAAGGTCGAATCTAGTTTCATCTCCATTCTATTAGATGACATTTAAATGCAACTTCGTATAAGCTTTGCCTATCTGCCAAAGTGTAAATATACTACATTTATGTCTTAATAATTTATGGTACCTTAGATTCGATTTGAAAAATTTAATAATACGTTTGCATTTCATACACGTAAGAAAGTAAATCATATTTTTATTGTTAAAAATTTTATATTGTGTTTCTACCAAAATTAAACTAAATTAAACTCAAACATTACATATTGTCTTAAAAGAAATATGTTTATGATAATCAAGTATGGCGAGAATTGACTGGTAAAAACACGAATAAGTTTCTGGATTTAGTAGAGTATTTTCAAAAATGGTAAGAATCAATTTATTTCTCATGTCGTGACGGTCAATATGAGGTTTAGTATCTCATACGTAAATGGATTTCAACAACAAACAACAATATTATATACACAGGGACATAAAATCTGACGGTTACATACATATTGCGCGGATCCACACATACGTATCCGCGCAGAGGCTTTCAAGTACATGGGTAATCTGGGACGCGAGAGATACGATGCACCCTATCGCGCATCAGTCGTGGTCGCAAGTAAGCCTATTAATGCGCGATGTTATTAGAGGATACTATCTGACCTACATTCCAGGTCCTATCAGTAACAGGCGTGCGTAGGCATCCTTAACACGAATTTACGAGAAGGCCGCAGGTTCAGATACATGCTACCAAATTGTTTGAACTTCTGAGTAGGGGGATCGGTCGTACAATTGTTCAGGGAAGTATTCAATCAAAACGCTCCCGTTGCTCTACCATTATTCTATCGCAGATATGATTGACTTGAGAACCATGGGCAAGCTTCTGACATATCGGGAGTAAATGAAAAGTCGATTTCGATAAGGATTCACAAGACTTACTATACAGACACGACTTCGCAGACTGTGATTGGAAAAGACCGGCACCGCGTTTGTTTGTCAAATAGCGACGTTAGGTCAATCCCCGAAAGAGATCTATAACAGCGCAAAAATGTATATAATATTGCTTTTGCAATCGAAAGCTTCTATTTCCCGTCAGAATCTCAATATCATAGTTTTTCGATAAGTCCTCATATTCGACAAGACCCATATAGAGGCACCTATCGATATTAACCACGGGTGAAAACATGCAACTGTGGATATTTTGCAAAGTTTATGATCGCAAAAAGATGTGTACATTTATTTGTCAGAGCGAGATTGTCGTATCGTTATCACTGTTTTTCCCTAACATCAGACGCACAATTTCCAATCGATCAGAATACTATAGTCAAAACACGTGCGATATTTACAGATACAAAAATTTTACGTTAAATTGTATAAACAAGCAATTAAGAAAAAGTTGTAAAAGGACATCGTTAGATGAGCTTAGATCTTTGTCAGTGCGAATTATCCAAATTTACAACATTGTCTACTCTTAGATCAGACTTTTGTTCATTTTCATATAGTTAAGTAGATACTCTTGTGTAGATCAAACTTTTGTTAATTTTCATTAATCGTATAATTAAGCAATTAAGAAGAAGCTATAATTATGCAAGAACGTCATTAGACGAGTTTAGATCTTTGTTAAATGCGAGTCATCGGAGTTTACGGCGCCGTCTATTATACTCTTAAGACTTTTTTTATCTTCCATCAACTTTCCGTCGTGCTAAGTGTAACATTACAAACCGTCAAGAAGAAGCCATCACACGAGAATTGCTTTTCACAAATCAAGCCGCGCCAGCTTCTCTCCATCCTCATCATCTTAGTAGGACTTTTGTGTGCTGTGACGAAAAAAAAAGAATTCATAACGGCAGTTTCGACACCGTCTGGTACTAATAAACGTCGTTAAAAGAAAGAGTGAGAGAGATAGAGAGAGAAAGAGGAAGAGAAAAGACGCCCTTCTTAAAAAGTAATTTTAGATTACGGCCGCCATTGTCGTCTATCGACAGCCGATTAAATTACAGTAGAGAATCGCTCTCGACACAAGGGAACAGTAACGGAACGGACGAGGGAGCTCTCGAATTACTATGTCGTATAACAGCTCGTACTTCTCGCGCGGATAATCGAGTTACGTCCGATGCGTCTTTATGATCCTCTTTCGTCTCCTTATTACTTGGCCATGACAGGACTAGCCGGCACTTTTCGTCTCTAACCGTACAAGTGTCGTCTGCCTGCCCTTTATGTAGTGTTTTTATGAGGTGCCTTTGCCAACTCGAGAAGAATCGCAAGGAAATTGACGAACGTCTAAAGTCATACATTTAGAAGAGCTGTCAAAGCGGTATCTGTAGAAAATTCGCGTACAATATTAAATGCATTCGCAAAGCGAGAATAATCAGCGTAGTTCTGTAAATGAGAGTTAACAGTATCAAAGAAAATTACAAGAGTATTCATCCTTTTATCTTTCACGCTGCAGAACAATATTCTTTCAGTTTTCTTCTCTTGCTTTAAAGTTACGAGTTTATTCAAAGTGCTCATACATTACTAACGCTCTGTATTTACGACATTCGTCAATGCTGCATCCGCATTTTCGCATTTAACGTACTCGAAACGTCGAGTTAACTGCTCGAGTAGCACAATACGCTGTTACATTCATCAAATATATGATGTCGGAAAGGGCTATTGTACCGTAT